AAAAGGTTTTCAATACTTAGATATTAAAGCAATTTTGGGAATTTATTTTAAGAAATTACCAAACATACAGAAATATCAACATTTTTTTTTGAAGCATCTAATCTTGGTACAGTGAAAGTTCAAAGAAGTTGCTAATGGACCTTTTACTGAATTCAATTTATTGAGAACCAAGAAAGCAGATATTTTCAAAGAGATTAAATCTTTATCTATTTTAGTGTTAACACCACCTCCTTTGGATTACAAAAGGCAAGGATATCTTTATCATAATATTCGTCCATTTGTTAGAGATAAATTCAAAAATATTACTTGCCCAAGACCAATCTATACTGGCAATGAATAAAATATTTAGAATAAAATCACTTCCATGGCTTTATCACTCATTAATTTTTCTCTTACTGTCATTAAGTTTAATAAGTTTAATCTTTTGTTAGTTTTAAAGTAAAAAATTTACTAAAATAATTTATATACTAAATATGCCCTCATAAAAAGTATATAAGTATATTAGAAGAATAAAAAAAAAAAGAAGGTAAAACCATGACAAACATCATAGAAGCACAAAAACAAGCAAATAAAGAATTATTAAACAAAATTGAAAACTTAGAAAAGCAATTGACTGATAAAGACAGAGTTTTAAACAAAGAAAATGAAATAATGAGTAAAATTCTCATTGACATTATACTGCACAATGATAATGTTTCAGATGAAAAAATAACTGAACTGCTTAATCAAGAAGATTGAAAAGAAAAAGTAGGTTTTTCCATTAAAGATAGTGGCAAAATAGGTTGAAGAAGAGTTCATTGATGAGTAACTGAACCTCAAAGAGTTTTTAGAAATAAAAGGGTATTAGCATTAAAAAGCAAGGAACTAAGTAAACAAAATCAAGAATATGAAGAAAAAATCCAAGAGTTAGAAGCAGAACAAGAAAATTTGGAAGCAGAGGTAGAACAACTAGAAGAAAGAGTGAAAATAGAACAGGAACAAGTTAAAGAAGTCTTAGCAGTTGGTGAAAAATAAAGTAAAACTCAAGCAGAAGATATAAAAGTAAAAAACCAAAAACTCAAAAGTGCTAGTGAAAAGATTTCTTATTTAGAAGCCCAAGTTGAAAAGTTAGATGAAGAGTCAAGTCAAAAGAGCAAAAAAATAGAAAAACTAAGCAAGCAATTATCTGATAATGAATCACAAAATGAAAGTTTAAAGAGTTTACACTATTT